AGAAATTTTAAATTATATATATTAGGGTGCTTGCTTTTAAAGAAATTTTAAATTATATATATTAGGGTGCTTGCTTTTAAAGAAATTTTAAATTATATATATTAGGGTGCTTGCTTTTAAAGAAATTTTAAATTATGTATATTAGGGTGCTTGCTTTTAAAGAAATTTTAAGTTATATATATTAGGGTGCTTGCTTTTAAAGAAATTTTAAATTATATATATTAGGGTGCTTGCTTTTAATGAAATTTTAAATTATATATATTAGGGTGCTTGCTTTTAAAGAAATTTTAAATTATATATATTAGGGTGCTTGCTTTTAAAGAAATTTTAAATTATATATATTAGGGTGCTTGCTTTTAAAGAAATTTTAAATTATATATATTAGGGTGCTTGCTTTTAAAGAAATTTTAAGTTATATATATTAGGGTGCTTGCTTTTAAAGAAATTTTAAATTATATATATTAGGGTGCTTGCTTTTAAAGAAATTTTAAATTATATATATTAGGGTGCTTGCTTTTAAAGAAATTTTAAATTATATATATTAGGGTGCTTGCTTTTAAAGAAATTTTAAATTATGTATATTAGGGTGCTTGCTTTTAAAGAAATTTTAAGTTATATATATTAGGGTGCTTGCTTTTAAAGAAATTTTAAATTATATATATTAGGGTGCTTGCTTTTAATGAAATTTTAAATTATATATATTAGGGTGCTTGCTTTTAAAGAAATTTTAAATTATATATATTAGGGTGCTTGCTTTTAAAGAAATTTTAAATTATATATGTTAGGGTGCTTGCTTTTAAAGAAATTTTAAATTATATATATTAGGGTGCTTGCTTTTAAAGAAATTTTAAATTTCAGCGTTAAAAATGACTTTAGAATAATATTAGCTTGATTGGATTACTTTTGTGCCTCTCCCAGTGCCTATTTAGTTTTTAAAAAAGGTCAAAAAGATCCCTATACTCAAAAGCCTTGGGTGAATGAAAATTTTAAATTGATTTTTTTTTATAATACAGGTACGGATCTATATTTTCAAATAAAAAGGTTAAAGCAGAATAAAACTGCTTTTGCTATTTTTTTGTGTGGTAAAAAGAAAAAAGGTGAATTTTTTTAGCTTAAATTATTAGAATAGTAAAATACTTTATTAAAGACTTTTTATTTTGAACTTGATCAATTATTTTATGTCATAATATCAATTCTACATTTGACTATAAAAAAATTTGATGAAGTAAAAAAAAAATAGAAATACTTATTAACCTACTAGAAGTTTTTTTAGTATAAATCTAGAGAAAATTACGAATTTAAAGTTTATGGTTTGTTTGAATTAATATATTTTTTTAAAGTACATTAGTTTTATTTTTTTATTACACATATGTTGGTTTATGATGAAGAAGAGATCTTAGGCCAAAAAAAGGTATTTTTTCTCATTGGAGAAACTAAACTAGCATTACCACGTACCCAGTGGGCGTGGACTTAAAAAAGATGTCTTTTAAACGTCTTATAAACGTTTTGAACATCTTTTGAACGTTCAAAAGACGTCTTTTTTAGATCCGGTGCCCACTGAGTATTTACTTATTTTACTCAAATAAGTTACTATATACTCTTATTTGTATACATATGTGCTTTATATATCAAATGATAATGTAATAGTTTTATCAAAATCACTTTTATATACTGCAAAGTCCATTAAGGATTTATATATATGTTGTTATTAAATATTGTTAATAATATTTTTTACGCTACATGTAATATTATGAGAGTTTAAACAACTTTCTACTCTATACAAAAATAAATGATAACTTGGATAAGAAACTAATAATATGGTTTTTTTCTTTAATTAAATCATTTATTATTGAAATGAAAAAACAATCATTAAATTTTAAATTTATTCATATAATAAATAAATCAACTTAATTTCATAATTTTTGAATCTTTTTTATCCCATGAAGAAAGTGATTCAATAAATTTCTCTTAGACAAATTTATCTTCGACAAATTTGAAGATATTTTTCCTTATTCTTTTACAGTAAATCTGGAATCAATAGATCGTTTGGACTTCTTTTTTATTTAATCTTTTCACAAACAGTTGCATCATTCCTACTGCTCTTTCAACAAGATCGTTCACAACAACTAGTGATTTAGAAAAATCTTTGATGATCTTAATGCTTGATTGCCAGTTTCTAACTCTTTGTTTATCCAACACTATTCTATCAAACATCAAATATTGAATTGATCAAGAAAGTGGTACAATTGTAGAATCAAAATTCCAGGTATGTTTATAAAATAATTTTAATACTGTTTCGACGGCATCTGGTTTGGCACAACATCTTTGTATAGAAGCATTTTATGTATTGATAAAATGTCCAGACATGGGTCTTTGATAACCTTGTTAGATTGCAATTATCATTTTCCGTTAAAACATTCTATGAATTCATAATTGATAATTATTGTTAATTATCATGATAATTATTTCATGATAATTATTTCTTCTAAAAGTAGTCTATCTTCCTAAACAAATTTAATCTAATTTGGAGTTTAATGAATTAAAAAAGAAGTTAAAACTTAATAATATAAAGCTTTTCCAAGGAACCATAAACAATAGAGAGCTCCTAGTTTCCTTATTTTTACAACTCTAGAAGACAAATAAACAACAACTAGCTCAGTAAGTTCTTTTCTATTATCTCTAAAAACTTTTTCACTTTTGATGTATTCATTGCAGAAATAAAAAAACTCAATTGCTGAACACTCAATAATAGTTCCATTTGTCTCATATTAAAATGTTTTTTTGAACATCACTAGTATCATAATGAAAATCAAGAGTTTCAAAAAAAAAAAATCTTTGAGTTTTTTAAATAAAGAATTGCCTGGTCCATAAATCTTATTTTGTGTCATAACATTTCAAAAGGAAACAATCTTCAGTTCTGATACATGGTGCCTAGAAACAAAAGATTATATCTAAACCATTTTCAATTCTAAAAAGTTTTTAGTATATGTATTATAAGTATTATTGAAGTTGTATCAAATCTTTTAATATATATTTTGGTTTCATAGTCCTCAAGAAATTTCATCACACCTTTATACTGATAATTTCCACTAACAAATGCTACAACAGCAATACAACCACTATAAACATCTTTAAAAATTGTGCATGTAAATAATTTTATAACATTTATTTCTTTTCCCTTTGTCCAGTCCCCATTTTCTAAGTCATTACATGTAGCCCAAAAAATACTATTAATAATGTTTAATAGATGCATATATATAAATCCCTTATTGCAGTACATAAAACTGATATTGATAAAAGTAAAACATTATTATTTGATATATGAAGTACATGTGTATAGAAATAAGAGTATAAAGCAATTTATTTGAGGTAAATAAAAAATTATCTGATAATGCTGGTTTAGTTTCTATAATGAGAAAAAATACCTTTTTTTTATATGTCCTACAATCTCTTTCTTCATCTCTGTTTTTGATTTCTTTATTGTTCATTATAAACCTAGATAAATGATCAAAAAATAAAACAAATGTACAATAAAGAAAAAAAAAATTAACTAAAGCGAACCATAGAAACTATATATATTGTCAAACTATATATATTGTGCCAATTGTGGAATACCATTTTTATTTTATAAAAAATATCATGTAAGAAAAAAACAATAATGCATAGTATCATCTACACAATATTAAAAGTACCCTTTATAAGATAAAAACTTAAAAAGTTGTTATGATTACTTTTATTTAAAAAATTACCTAGTTCGATCCTGCATTTTTGGTCTCATAATATGGAATACTTGAATTATAGTTTCGCTATTAACCTATAATATTCAGCTCCACAGAAATGGAATATGTGAACATATTTCAATCAGAAAGATGAATATTGACCGTAATTCGTCAATGTGAAATACTCCCCATCTTGGCAATCCACATTAGGGTGCTGCATAGTCATAACTCAGTATCATGGCTAGTGGGTTTGAAGCCTTACACCATTCAAAACAAAAAAAACCCTGTCTTTAGGGGCCCAATTTCTTAAAACAAATTTTCCCTAGGTATAACTAAAAGAAAAAAAAAATAAAAGTTGCGTATATTTTTAAAAGGACCCCTTAACTTGCAAATGGACCCCTTAAATTTGCTGCCCCCTCCCCCAATTTGGGGATGTTGGATAACTTACATGTTATTAAAATAATAAAACACAATTTTTAACAGATAAACCAAGTATACAGCATAATAAGGTCACATTTACCTTGATAAACTTCACAAATACACTAAGAAAAATCTCTATAATCTCATCAGATGTAAAAAAAAAATGCTAACACCAAATAAAACATGTGATATTTTAAGGATATCTTTGCAAATGAGATTATCGTTACATGATCGAATTACTTATAATACCACAACGCATGATATTCAGCTTTTAGAATGTAGATGCCTCTAACCATTTCTGAAAATACCAGTTACATTACATTCACATTACGTTACATTACAGTCCACATTACATTACTATTGCACAATTGGCACCTTTACTCTCTATAATTATAAATATATTTAATTCTAATTTTATTAAGTTCATTTTAGATCAATTTTTGTGTCTTACTAAAAACTTTTTTGACCTAAACAGTAGCAAACTTTGCTAAAGGGACAAGGGGAAAACTCCTGATATGCCAACTAGAAAAAAAAAAGCTTTTAAGAGTTAGAGTTTTACTTACAATTATTTTACCTTGTAATAAACAGCTTTACCTCACTGTCCTCAGCTGTTTAAGAACATAAAATTTAAAATAAAGTTGAGGGGAAAACTGCGGAAAATAATAAGACTATGTTTGTGAAGAGTAACAACATTATTTAAGATAAATAGCATTAGTGAAAAATAGTAACATTATTGAAGAATAATAACATTATTTGAATTTCTAGCAATCGATAAGACTATTTAAAAAGTCAGAAAATGCAAAAAATTAAAAATTAATACATTTTGAGGCATCTGAAGATGCTAAAACATTAATGCTCATAACTAAAATAATGTTTATTTAATTTCATTACAAAGATTACATTTTCATTTCTTTCAAACTTCAATCGTGGGATGCCAGCTCGTTAAGTATCCTGAAAGATATAAATCTTTTTATATAAAAAATGAATGGTGTGAATGAATAGTATAAAGATACTATACCAAATAAATATATTTTAAAAATTATGGCTGCTTGAGCATAAGAACAAAATCATCATAAAACATGGAGCATTTCCTGATTGTCTTGACTTCTAAAACCCTTTAAAACCTTTTATATATGAGATCTTTTCTAGAACTTTTATCAAAAAGGTTCAACAATTACAAGAACAAGGGAACATTTTATTTCATTATTAGATTGTCTGATATGGCTTAATTGAAAAACGATCATGACAAAAAGATTTTTATTGCTGAAATATAATTACAGATGATATGTTTTTGATTTTCATAAAGTTGTTAATTACTTTTTTAACTCAGTATTTAGAAACATAGTTAATTTTTTCCTTCAGGGCTTTAAATGTTTTAATTAAATTAGACCTATTTGAATAATAAGTAAGCATAATATGACCTTTTAATAGTGGAATTCCAAAAAGAAATTAAAAGCTTGCTGAAAAATAATCATTAATGATATACCAATATTTCCTATACCAAAATAGATAGGATGATTTGGTACAGACATTATTATTTTGAATAAAAGTATAACATACCTTTAATACTAGTTTGTTTACTAAAAAAATTGCAGTTGCAAAAAAAAACAGTTATCTATTAAACTTAAAAAAATTTAATAGATAACTGAAAATTTCAAAATTTCATAGGTAGTCAAAAACATGAAAAGCTCTAATCTAAGGGGAAAAATTAGATGTCAGGGAAATATCTTACAAACTTGAAATATTCTAATAGCATAGATAAGTGTAGTTGTAAATGGCTATAGTAGTTTAATGAAGGTCTGCGCTCATATTTTTGGTAAACTTAAACATAAAAGTTTACCTTGAATTTCCAACCAGCACAAATAAGGATGAGGTGGTGAATAAAATTAAATTGCAGCACTAAATGAAAGTATATTTTTTTCTTCAAAAAATCAGTATGCAAAATATGTTTTTAAAGTCAACTTAAGCGAGTAAAAATGAAGAACTAATATAACTTTTAAAAAGCATGGGAAGTTTATCACACAAAATAATCGCGGACGGGGATATGTAACATATATACATACAGGAGTTAGTAAACTAGTTGATTAAATAAAACTTGTTAGAAAAGTTAATAAAGTTAAAAAAATTAATACAGTTAGAAAAGTTAATCCTAAAAAAACATTGTTAGATGTGGGATTTGAACCCACGCCCACATTCGTGGACCAGAATGCTCCGTATTACGGAAGGAAACTAACCTTGAGTCTGGCGCCTTAGACCGCTCGGCCAACCTGACATATCCAATTTAGTGCAAATAATATAATTATAATATAAAGCATTAAAATCTTTAGCACTTCAAAAAAAGAAACAAATAATGTATTTGTAAGTCTAAATGGAATAAAACAATACAAGCAAAGTTATTTTGAATAAAAATTTTATTATAAAGAGTTACAATTAACAAGGGGCTGACCATTAATTACGTCAACAAAATAGGGGGAGAGGGGGTCTGTAATTTTTTGACAATTGTTGACAAGGGAGAGGGGGGGAGGGGAGAGGTCAAGACAAGTTGATGTCATCAATTTTATTTTTCTAAATAAATTTATTTACAAAAAGAATTAAAATTGTACAGCGTTTGCAGTCCTGTGTTACACACTAAATCAACTTTCAGTATTTTAATAAAGGCTTTATTATAAAAGCTATTATTATAAAATATAAATATAAGTAATAAAAATTTAAAATATAAAATATAAATAAAAGCTATTATTGTAAAAGTTTATAAAAGTAAGTTTAAGGTTTTTTAAAAGTATATATAGGAATATAAATAGCTTTGTTAAAGCTATTTATATTCCTATATACACTTTTAAAAAACCTTAAATTTACTTTTACATACTTTATAAAAATAGTGTTGTGCTTTATAAAGACCCAACACATACAGAACTAAATAAGCCCACACGAGATGTTTACTTGTAACACTGTTATGTGTATTATTACACTGTGCAAAAATGTGAAATTAATGATTGTGCCCCACCACTTCGAAACCCGTTTCGTCGGCCATGCGAAGCACTTTAAAAACTTAATTTTTTTGCAAATTGTAACTTTTTACTCTTCCGTCTCAAAAGGTTGCCAACCCCTTGTATATTCATTTTGTTGAATGCATTTTTTGTTATACTAGACTCTATTAGAAATAATTGGCTTTCACTAAGATATTGGATTAGGCCTAGAGTTAAAGTTAGAATTGGCACATTCACGGATGATAAACGTCTGACACTATCATCGAAATTGATTAATTCGGGGAGGGAGGGAATCATTAAACGTTGATGTAATTATATAGGGATGATTGATAAGGGGAAGAACTCTTGACTCTCTATCAAATGACAAGGGAGAGGGGGAAGGTAAAAATCGTCAAAAAATTGTTGATGTAGTTATTAATAGACAGCCCCCTAGCTGCCATGTACCGGTGGTAAACAGGTGGTAAAGTAGGTCTATGTTCCTCGCCCTATCAGTAGCTCTTTTTAACTGATCATTTTTTCACCACTATGACATGTTGTCTTTTGTTAAAAAAAATAACACTAACAGTAAGTTACACTAATTATTCTCCCTTCCAAAATATGACTGGGCATTTATAATAAATTATTTTGAATGATAAAAATGTAATAATATTTTTAGTAAGTAATAGCTTTTAGTAACTTGTTCATAGAATATTACTTTCTTTCAAACAGAATATTACTTACTTTCAAATAGAATATTACTTACTTTCAAATAACTGTTAATGTTGAAGAATTGATAACTTGTTACTTCATTAAATATTTTACTTGTATTTTTTATTAAAATAGAATTAGCTATGTAATTTTTATTACTTGTATTAATTACCTGTATTTTTATTTGCATTGAATTACTTGAATTTTTTTTATTAAAATAGAATTACCTTTAAACGTTGATTGTATCAACATTGACCGCTTGTTTATATGAATTGCGATATTTTTATATACTTAAAGTTAATTTTTTATTTTTATTTTAGTTATTTGTTTTAATATATTTTCGTAAAATTGTTTATGTTTATTTGTTTGTTTATTCATATGTTGTTGTTCAAATACTTGATGTGGTTGTTCATATACTTGGTGGTCATCCATGAAGTACATACGCTTTTATCCCCCCCCCCACTCCCATATTTTGATATAGGCTTTTTTGAGTACCCTTCGCCTCTCTAAAAGTGCCTACGTATTTAACCTACTTACCCAACATTTTTTTTAACTTAGTGTCTCCTTACTTTTATAATTGACCTCATGCCCCTCATCTATTATACACCATTTTTAGACCCCTTTTTCCGTATCCGAGCGTACGTACTTTATGGGCAATCCCTCTCAGTGGGCATGCATCGTCCAAGGGACGTCCGTCGGACGTCATACGGACGTCTGAGCGTTCGTGAGATATCCAACGGACGTCGTCCGGACGACGCGTGCCCACTGGGCTTAATGTGGTTGTGGGCCGGATAAAAGGTGACGCAAACGATGCGGTCGCGTCGGGCTCCGTGCTAATTAGGGCGCCGCGAAGACCTTTAGAATGCTGTTAAAAGAATAGAAAAGACATATAATCTATTTTTTTATTTAAATTTGAAGCCTATTTAATTTAGAATACTTCAATATTAAGTTTATATAATAATTTATATAATAATATAATAATCAATAAAATAATTTTTTCGAATTCTGACTTCACGCAAGAATTTAAAGTATTAATAAACATTTTGTTTTGTTGTTGTTTGATTTTTTATTATTATTGTTAGAGTTTCTACTTTAAAGTGCGAAATCAACAAACAAGTTTTTTAAATGGATTTGAGCACATCTTAGTTAAGGCAAAAACATTCGGTGAAGACTTATATATATACACAGAATTTTAAAATAAACGGCTACCGACACGAAAAAACATTTTTTTTTTTCTTTGTATACAAAGACAAAAAAAAAAAGTCTATTATAGACTCTTTAAATGCATATTCTAGATATCCTTATCCTTTTCAGTTCAAATTCAGTTCAATTTATTCTTTAACTTATATACAATTTTCACGACAAAAATAATAAAATATGTTTATTTATTTAATAGAATATAGTGACATTTTTAAGTATATATATTTAATAATAAACGCAATTTTACCCTGGTACATTAGTATTCTTCAACATCTCCCTTTATTTTAGATTTTCATTTGAGGAATTATACACTCTCGCAAAAAGTTTGGAGTTTTTCTCCACACCGGTGTGAAGCTATCACTCCTATACACAAGTGTGGAGTTATTTTGCACATTTTTGTGCAAATTAACTTTTTCTAACTCGACTTCTGCGCTGAAGTGTGGAGTTATTTTGACAAAAGTGTGCAAAATAACTCCACAATTGTGTATAGGAGTGATAGCTACACACCGGTGTGAAGGAAAACTCCACACTATCCGCGAGTGTGTAAAACTATAAAAAAACTTTTTTTTTTGATAAAAAGAAGTTTTTTATAATTTCAGTAACATTGCACTTAAGTTTTTTCTACGATTTACTTTGGTGATATGTTTTCAAAATGGAAATTATCTGGTGCGGTAGGGAGGAGTTTAAATGGTTTAAGGAATGACTGGATAAAAATCGCACTTATTTATATGCTTATGAAAAAGTTTTTGATAAAGTTTAAATAATTATTGATAATTTATAATATTTTTATTTCAAACTTCAAAATATTTTGTATTAATATTATATATATATATATATATATATATATATATATATATATATATATATATATATATATATATATATATATATATATATATATATATATATATATATATATATATATATATATATATATATATATATATATATATATATATATATATATATATATATATATATATGTATATATAGGTGATGCAAAATCAACATATATATCAATATATATCAATATATAAAATCAATATATATATATATATATATATATATATATATATATATATATATATATATATATATATATATATATATATATGTATATATAGGTGATGCAAAATCAACCTGTGATTGTCCACTATGTGTTATTTCCAGAGATAAATTCAAAGAGGTAAACCTTAAGGTAATGTATAACTTTTAATGTAAAGTTAGTAATGTAAACGTTTGAAAATCAATTAGCATAAAATATAAAATGTAATTTACTTAATTGATTTGAAAATTGATTGAATTACCATTAATAATATCTTATAAACTATAAAAAGTTATTTCTTAGGATGTTTTAAGCGTATATTTAAAAGAATCTGAGATATCAAATGAAGTTGGTAAAAAATTTGCTTTAATTGTTATCAAAGAATCGGAGTTGGAATTCGACATTCCTGTAGTAAGAAAGATACTGTGAAAAACTTTACAATTTTTTTAATCTCAAAAAGTAACAGAATAAATAAATTAATGCCTGTATAAAAGTAAACTTTCGTATTAAATCTTATGACAAACTTTAAATGTTAAATTTTAGGTTTAAAAACAGCAGAAGTCTTCTCCAAATCTTTAAAAAAATCGAGCAAGTTTAAAACATTCAATTGAGGGAAACTATAAAATTGTCGACAGGTATGACTCCGTTAAGTCTACAGATAGGAAAGAAGAGGACAATAAAAACAATATCAAGCCAAACTTTCTATAATATAAAAAGAAAGCACGATCTATCAGATTCTACAACACTTTGAAGTAATGAAAGATCATGTTATCTTGATGATTATTATGGAACAGAAAAAGTAAAGTTTTCAGCTAAGAAAAATATTGGAAATAAAAAAATCATACATACTGTTTAATAAATTTAATGTGAAAAAATTTGTGAAAGATTTCAAATCACTTGTTGAACATATTTGCACTGTTAAGGGACTGTTAGCAATAGATAAACTTATTGTTCGTGTTGAAATAGATGGAGGTCAAGGATCCTTAAAATTTGTTATGAATGTTTTTAATATTGAAATTGACTGTCGAGAAACCAAAAGTACAGGTGTTAATAAAGTCTGCTTGATGTAGCTGAAGATACACATGCTTTTGCTGGTGAAGATTGTTACAGAGATTTCTAATGTTTTATGTAAAGAACCTTAGTTCTTTACTTTTATGTAAAGAACCTTAGTACTTAGTTATTGCTGTGTGGCTAAGTAACCATTGGATAATTTGGCAGGGATATAATGGAGGTGGGTTAGACCGTAGAAATGCTAACAAAATTCGGAAGCTTTTCCGTGATTTAAAACAGCATATTTTTGACCATTATCCTTCTTATCATCCAGTGGTTCAACTAAAATCATTTTCTATAGGTAATTTAT